CTACTTTGACGAATAGTGATCATTTACCAATGGTACGATTGGTGAGGGTGTTTTGACGATTGGTATCTGTTTGTGTATATTGGACATGTGTGAGAAGTTTCGCCAACTACCATATGTATTCTACTAGTTTTCTCTCATATTTTTCTTGATGCTGATTATTACCTGATATTTTGTTGTATGTATTGTCTGTAGCCGCCAACTGCCAAATGTATGATTTCTTATCCAAAATTAACATTTGCTTAAAATGTTCGTTTGCAACCTGATATGTATTAATTTTGTCAGGCAATTAGCTTATAAGAAGTGTCTAGTCTTCAAGATGCTCTCAAGTTTTGTGTTTTATAATTTCATTCTTTGTTTTGCTCAAGCTAGATTTGCAATAAAAACTTAGATTAAGGGATACTTTTAAGCAGGAAAATTATTTTGACAGGTACATGTAAACCATGTACTATGAAATTGGGCCATGAAATTGAACTAAATTTTGACATGACACAACATTGTCGAAGCATATAATTTTTAAAATTGGATGAAAATTTAGGTTTAAATTACATGCAAATCTGATAGTGCTGAACTGCGAAAAGATAATATTTTAGTACTATGGCTTAGCTTTTCCAGCCACACTTATTATTTTGGCTTGCTAGCACTTGTAAAAAGTGTAATTTTATTGTTGTGTTTTGCTTTTTGCAGGGCAAAATATGTACATGTAAGGCTGTCTCAACAAGAAAATAATATTAAACAACCTCAAAGTTACAGTTTTGAAACAAGTTACTGAAAACCTTCTTCCTGACAAAGTTTGAGAAAATCATTTTTTTCTATCCTGCATAGGTTAAGGTATAGGTGATTGTTACAGCAAGCTGCTCTTAATATCTGGTTGCAAACACTCAATTTTGGATCTCATTGGTGACCAGAGAATCGCTATTTTGAGCCCTAAAATGTTTACATTAAGCAGATATTTAGTAATTAGTACATTAAAACAATGATACATGTCACAACAATGATACAAATCACAGCAAGCTTAAACTATTTGACTTTTTTCTAAGTAAATCCCTCCTCTTTGAACAATGTTAAAGGATATGTAGA